TGTGATGTATAGTGCCGAGCGAAGGACTGCGCAACGAGACGAGGAAGAACGGCTGGGACTCGTCACAGCAGATGGAGCAGACGATGCGTGGTCTCAACTCGCGACAAGTCGCAGCAGCGTGGTTCGGGCAAGTCCTCGGCGGCGGAGAAGAGCAAGTACGTCTTCCTCGACGAGGACGACGACGAGAACAACCAGGCGCTTGAGGACGAGGCGACGATTGACCGCCAGATGGACGAGCTCAGCGGCGCCGTCTCCGTCCTCAACAGGGTCGCCAAGGCACAGACCCAGACGGTCCAGAGGCAGATTGTCACGGCCGACAGAATCAACGAGAAGGTCAGTCGCTTTGCCGCGGGCCGTTGCGGTGTACAAACTCTTGCTAACACGGTCTGCAGACGGACATGGTGGATGATGGTGTCAGGCTCAACAGGGCCCGTCTCGACCGCATCAAATAAGCTGTATTGGGAAATGGGAGGATCGACGGCATGCTACTACCTAGTTTGGAGTAATGGAGTTTATTTCAGGTTTACTTCCTCGAGTAGTGATGGTGAAACCGTCCATGCACGTGTTCATTTTCAGTGGCCGCGTTCCCTCAACTTGCCGTCGCTTTATCGTTCAGTCGCTTCGAAGTCTGCCAGCGGAGAGCAGAAAATCGTAGACTGAGTCAACCAGGATCCTGGCTCTGTCCATATTGCTCGTCTTCAGACCAAACCGCTACAAGTCTGACTGTGTTGAGGACCATGTGTGGATCCGAGGGGGTGTGGACTTTTAGCCACACCCTGTGCGACCCCAACCTCTGACCCCATCAAATTTTCTGAGATGCTCATCATCCTCTGTGAGACCAACTCAATCACGAAAGAATCGCCATGGGGGACCCAAAGGGCGGCGAGCCCAAGAGCAAGAAGCGCAAGCTCAACAACCAGAATGTACTCAAGGTCGGCAACAAAGTCATCTCCCTCGAGGGGTACCTCAATCCGCCAGCAAAGAAGCCCCCCCCCGCAGCCAGAAACCAACACCCAGCAGTGAGCGTCCGCAAAAACAGCCCAAAGAAAAACGGCAGCAGAACGACAGGGCGCTTTCCGCCCAGGGAAGACCGCAAATCGCGACAGTCCCAGACGAAAGAGGGATGGGCGGGCGCCTTCCCAACATCGCAAGGACAAGAAGCCCTTTGCCAAGAATGGCCCGGACGTCCCGCTGGAAGGAGGACCCCGTCTTGCTCGAGTCCCGCAAGAACTTTCCATCTGGGCCATCGCGACGAGATCA